CCACCACCTCCCCTTCCTCCTCCTCCTCCTCCTCCTCCTCACCACCACGTGTTTCCCGGAGCGCAGCACAAACTGATGTCCATGCACAGTGACGACAACGCTGCGATTGCTGACCCCCCCTCGGGGGTCTGTGGCTTTCACCTCAAAATGGGGGTGGGCTCCATCCTCACTGCAGCTCCGTGCCACCACGTAGGTGCAGTTATCCCGCACGGTCACGGCTGCCCCATCGAAGCTCAGATAGTGGTGCATCCCCACAGCCCTACACGTCCCTGAGGTGACCAACGTTGACGCTGCCCCGCATTTCATGGCCCCCCTGTGGGGGTCGTGGGGGGACATGCAGCCCTCGCGACACTCGTGGGCACAGTTTGGGATGCAGAGAGCATAGCGGGTTCCTTTGGGGCAGTTGGGAGCTGTGGGGTGAAGGGAACTTTGAGGGTAGGGTCCTCGGTCCCCTTTTTGGGGGATCGGGATCCCACCCAAGATGTCTGCGTCACATTTGGGACAGTGGGTTCTCCAGAGCGTTCTATGGGGTTGTGTCTCCTTCCCACCACCACCCTTGGGTTCTTGGGGTGTTCTGTGGGGCCACATCCCCACCCCACCACCACCCTTGGGTTCTTCGGATACTCTATGGGGTTGTGTCTCCATCCCACCACCACCCTTGGGTTCTTGGGATGCTCTATGGGGTTCTGTCTCTGTCCCACCACCACCCTTGGGTCCTTGGGATGCTCTATGGGGCCACATCCCCACCCCACCACCACCCTTGGGTTCTTGGGGTGCTCTATGGGGACACATCCTCACCCCATCACCATCCTTGGACTCTTAGGATGCTCTATGGTGTTGTGTCTCCATCCCACTACCACTCTTGGATTCTTGGGATGCTCTATGGGGTTCTGTCTCCATCCCACCACCACCCTTGGGTTCTTGGGATGCTCTATGGGGTTCTGTCTCTGTCCCACCACCACCCTTGGGTCCTTGGGATGCTCTATGGGGCCACATCCCCACCCCACCACCATCCTTAGGTCCTTGGGATGCTCTATGGGGTTCTGTCCCCATCCCAACACCACCCTTGGACTCTTGGGATGCTCTATGGGGCCACATCTCCATCCCACCACCACCCTTGGGTTCTTGGGGTGCTCTATGGGGTTCTGTCCCCGTCCCACCACCACCCTTGGGTCCTTAGGATGATCTATGGGGCCACGTCCCCATCCCACCATCACCCTTGGGTTCTTGGGATGCTCTATGGGGTTGTGTCCCCACCCCACCACCACCCTTGGGTTCTTGGGGCGCCCTATGGTCCCGTACCCCATCCCATCCCTATCCCCCATGCCCCACTCACCACAGAACCCCTCGGATCTCCACTCCAGGACTTCCTTCCCCACTTCCTGGCATGCAGCCACGTAAGCAGCGACGACACGACAGACCCCATTGCTGTGACACCGGTCGGCCATACAATCCCTGTAGTACGTTTCGGGGTGCACCGCCTCGTGGCAGAGCCGGAAGGGCCCATCCTTATCCAACAGCACCCCACACTCTTCCCTTTTCTCTCCCTTTTTCCCTTCCTCCTCCCCACATTCCGACCCGTCCTCGCACCCTTCCTCATTCCCAACTCTCCATCCTCTCGCCGGTGCCAGATCGTTACGGGGGTCCCCATCGAAGTCCCCGCAGAGCCCGCAGAGTTGGCCTCCATAGGAGCTCTCCACCTGGACGCTCACCCTCCCGTGCTGCCCATCGTAGGCGACTCGAAGCCCCGAGGGGGTCCTCAGCTCCACCTCCCACCCCCGTCGTTCCACGGTCAGGGCGGAGTGCTTCACTGTGTAGGGCAGGGAGATGGGCACGCCGTGAAGCTGGTTGGGGTGAGAGAACAGCTTTTGTATCCTTCTGGATCCCATTTCATGGCTACTCAGACTTTACTCGTGGTTTACTCCCTGCTTTACTCACAACTGAGCCATCACGTTGTCCCCACATCTCCGTCCCTTACAGATCGCTCTGTGATCCTATAATCCCTTCTGGATCCCATTTCACCACTACTCAGACCTTACTCGTGGTTTACTCCATGCCTTACTCACAACCAACCCATCATGTTGTCCCCACATCTCCATTTCTCTCCATCTCCATCCCATACAGATCGCTCTGTGATCCTTTAATCCCTTCTGGATCCCATTTCACCACTACTCAGACCTTACTCGTGGTTTACTCCATGCCTTACTCACAACCAACCCATCATGTTGTCCACACATCTCCTTTCCTCCCCATCTCTATCCCATACAGAACACTCCGATCCTTTAATCCCTTCTACATCCCTACTCATCACTACTCACACTTTACTCATGCTTTACTCCCAGCTTTACTCACAACCGACCTATTTTGTTGCCCCCCCATATCACCATTTCTCCCATTTCCATCCTATATAGGACATTCTGATCCCATGACTTCTTCTGGATCCCATTTCACCACTACTCATACCTTACTCACAGTTTACTCACTGCCTTACTCACAACTAGCACATCATGTTGTCCCCGCATCTCCATCCCTCCCCATTTCCATCTCATATACAACACTCTGATCCCATGACTTCTTCTGGATCCCATTTCATCACTACTCACACTTTACTCATACTTTACTCCCTGCTTTACTCACAACCAACCCATTTTGTTGCCCCCCACATCACCACTTCTCCCATTTCCATCCCATACAGAACTGTCCGTGATCCTATAATCCCTTCTGGATCCCATTTCATCACTACTCATACTTTACTCATGCTTTACTCTCAACCAACCCATCGTGTTGTCCCCACATCTCCATTTCTCACCATTTCCATCGCATACAGAACATTCTGATCCTTTAATCCCTTCTGGATCCCCTACTCACACTTTACTCATGCTTTACTCCCTGCTTTACTCACAACCAACCCATTTTGTTGCCCCCCACATCACCACTTCTCCCATTTCCATCCCATACAGAACTGTCCGTGATCCTATAATCCCTTCTGGATCCCATTTCATCACTACTCATACTTTACTCATGCTTTACTCTCAACCAACCCGTCATGTTATCCCCACATCTCAATTTCTCCCCACCTCCATCCCATACAGAACACTCTGTGATCCTTTAATCCCTTCTGGATCCCATTTCATCACTACTCAGACTTTACTCATACTTTACTCCCTGCTTTACTCACAACCAACCCATTTTGTTGCCCCCCCACATCTCCATTTCTCCCCATCTCCATCCCATACAGAACATTCTGATCCTATAATCCCTTCTGGATCCCCTACTCAGACTTTACTCACGCTTTACTCCCTGCTTTACTCACAACCAACCCATTTTGTTGCCCCCCACCCACATCACCACTTCTCCCATTTCCATCCCATACAGAACGCTCCGATCCTATAACTCCTTCCGGATCCCACTTCCCCACTACTCACACTTTACTCAACGCTCCTCCTCCCCCTTTACTCACCCCCCCCATCCTTACTCACCATCACCTTTTCATTTTCCATCTCCACCACCGTTCGGTGCAACTGGATCACGACACCAACGATGCCACCGGATCCGGCCCGGATGAGGACACGAAAGAAATGGGTTTTTTTGGTTCTGGAACATTCCTCAACCAAAAGATGGAGGCAAGAACCCGAAAAATCGTGGTGGAGGAGATCGAAGGTCCGGACGTGGCCGACCCCAAGGGCTGAGCAGGTGGAGTTGGAGGTGGGACGTTTGGGGACGGGGTTGGGGACGGGGTTGGGGACGGTGGCACATGACTCCGGTGGGTGTTTGGAGGAGCAGGATGGAGCTGGAGGTGGAGGGAGAGTGGAGATGGGTTTAGTTCTCATCCCGTAATCCCAATCCCGTAATCCCAATCCCGTAATCCCAACTCCAGACCCCATAATTGCACTCCTGATCATATAATCCCATCCCCAGACTTCATAAATGTGCTTTTTACCCCATAATCCCATCCACAGATCCTGTAACTGCACTCTCCATCCTATAATCCCATCCCCTGACCCCGTAACTGCGTTCCCATCCCATAATCCCATCCCCAGAAGCTACAACTCTGTTCCTCATCCCATAATCCCACCTCCAGACCCCACAACTGCGCTCCCCATCCCATAATTCCATCCCATAACTCCATAACCTTGTTCCTAACCCCATAATCCCATCCTCTTAACCCCATAATCCCATCCCATAACCCCAGAAACTTGTACCTCACCCCATAATTCCACCCCACAATCCCATAATCCCACCCCATAACTCCATAATCCCACCCGATCACCCCATAACCTTGTTCCTCACCCCATAATCCCACCCCATAACCCCATAACCCTGTTCCTCACCCCATAATCCCACCCCATAACTCCATAATCCCAACGCACAACCCCATAACCTCGTTCCTCACCCCATAATCCCACTCCATAACCCCATAACCTCGTTCCTCACCCCATAATCCCATCCCATAACCCTATAACTGCCTTCCTCACCCCATATTCCCACCCCATAACCTCGTTCCTCACCCCATAATCCCAACCCATAACCCTATAACTGCATTCCTAACCCCTTAATCCCACCCCATAACTCCATAATCCCACCCCCTAACCCCATAACCTCGTTCCTCACCTCATAATCCCACCCCATAACCCCACTCACCGCACTTTCCTGCCCCGTTTTCGGGATGGACACAGATCCCACACAGCTGTTCCCGCAGCTCCTCCGGCACCGTCACCGTCACCGCGCCGTCCCCTCCGATGGCCACGCGCACCCCCGGGGGCAGCTCCACTCTTCTCTGTCCCCCCCTTCTCTCCACACGCACTCGGCCCCCCACCATCAGGAGGGGAAGTGGGACGGTGCTCCCGGCCACCTGGGGGAGGGGGCAGATTTGGGAGGTGGGGGGGAGGAGGGTGAATTGCATATCTGTGGGTCAGTGTGGTGGGGGGCAGTTCCTAGGATTTGGGAATGGGGTTGAGATGGGGATGGGGAGCATGGGAATGGAAATGGGGTTGGGAGATCCTAGATATCTGGGTCCACCAGCCAGATATGGGGGCTGGGGGCTGGAAATAGGGTGGGAAGACCCCTGACCACTCAGATATGGGAGCTGGAGGCTGGAAATAGGGTGGGAAGACCCCTGACCATTCAGATATGGGACCTGGGGGGCTGGAAATGGGGTGGGGAGATCCCAGATAGCTGGGTCCATCACCCAAATGTAGGGGATGGGGGCTGGTACTAGGGAGGGGAGATCCCTGGTCATCCAGATATGGGACCTGGGGGCTGGAAATGAGGTGGGGAGATCCCAGATACCTGGGTCCACTGCTTGGATATGGAGCCTAGGGGCTGGAAATGGGGTGGGGAGATCCCTGACCACCCAGATATAGAGCCTAGGGGCTGGAAATAGGGTGGGAAGACCCCTGACCACCCAGATACGGGACCTGGAGGCTGGAAATGGGGTGGGGAGATCCCAGATATCTGAGTCTATCACCTAGATATGGGACCTGAGGGTTGAAAATGTGGTGGAAAGATCCCTGACACACAAACCCACCACCCCTCATGGAATCCTAGAACATAGGAGGTCCCACAGCCTCGGTTCCCCCCAGACCACCCCTCTCCCCTAACCCCTTACCCTTGCCATCTTCTCCTCTCCTCGGACCAGCACAACTTCATAGCCATCACCTTGCAGCATGACGTAGGCAAAGGCTGCAGCCATTCCCGTGCCATCTTGTCCTCCCACCGTGATGTTGAGGAAGGTCTTCTGGGCACCACAAGTGCTCACAAGAGTTTGGGCACAGGGACCCCCCAAGCTGTACCCCCTCCCATCAAAAGCTCGGTACCTCCACTGCCTCAGGACGTGGCAGACGAGTGGGGGGTGATGTGTGGGGATGCATTGGGGTGAGCCCTCCTCTGTCAGCTTGCAGGTTTCGCCCTTTGGGCAATGGATGTCGTTGCAGGACATCTTGTAAGGTTCGCATTTGGGTTGGTTGTCCACCATCCTACAAATTGTCCCAACTGGACATGGAAAATCTTTGCAGGACAACTTGTAGGGTTCACATTTGGGTTGGTTGTCCGCCATCCTACAAATTGTCCCCATTGGACATGGAAAATCTTTGCAGGACAACTTGTAGGGTTCGCATTTGGGTTGGTTGTCCACCATCCTACAAATTGTCCCCGCTGGACACGGGAAATCTTTGCAGGATATCTTGTAGGGTTCGCATTTGGGTTGGTTGTCCACCATCCTACAAATTGTCCCCGTTGGACACGGAAAATCTTTGCATGACAACTGGTTGGGAACACACTGAGGTCCATCCTTGATTACTTGGCACGTTGTTCCAGCTGGACACGGAAAATCTTTGCAGGACATCTTGTAGGGTTCACATTTGGGTTGGTTGTCCACCATCCTACAGGTTGTTCCAGCTGGACACGGAAAATCTTTGCAGGACATCTTGTAGGGTTCACATTTGGGTTGGTTGTCCACCATCCTACAAATTGTCCCCGTTGGACACGGAAAATCTTTGCAGGACAACTGGTTGGGAACGCACTGAGGTCCATCCTTCACTACTTGGCACGTCGTCCCAACTGGACAATGCATATCTTTGCAGGACAACTGGTTGGGAATGCAACGGGGCCAATCCCCCACCATTCTGCAGGTCGTTGCAGGCGGGCAGTGCACTTCTTTGCAGGACATCTGGTTGGGAACACACTTGGGCCAATCCTCCACCACCCGACACGTTGTTCCGAGAGGGCAATGCGTATCTTTGCAAGTTGGCTTTTTGGACACACATTTGGGCCAATCGTCCACCATTTGGCACTCAGTCCCCACCGGGCACAGCACCTCTTTGCAGGATGGTTTGTTGGGGACACATTTGGGCCAATCATCCACCATTCTACACGTGGTCCCCTCAGAGCATCGGACGGTGCTGCAGGATGGTTTGTTGGGCACGCAGGTTGGCCAACCACCCTCCAGTTGGCACGCGGTGCCGGCAGGGCAGCGGACAGTGCTGCAGTTGGGTGAGTTGGGCACGCATTTGGGTCGACCTCCAACCATGTGGCACTCGGTTCCATCCGAGCAACGCACCGTAGAGCAGTTGGGGCGTTGGGGGATGCAGTGAGGGATGCCCTTGGCCATGTGGCATGAGGTGCCTGGTGGGCAAATCTTGTTGGCACACGATGC